AGGACGGGCCAAGAGGTCCCCAAGAAGCCTCCAAGACGGTCCATGAGGGCCCCGAGACGGCCAAAGATCGCCCGAAGACGCCCAAACAGGGCCCCAAGACAGCCCAAGAGGCCTCCAAGACGCCCCAAGGGCCTTCCAAGAGGCCTCCGAAGAGGGCCCCAAGAGGCCAAAATCGTTGATTTTCATTGTTTTTTCTATGTTTTTTGCGTTCTGGCTTTTTCGGCTTCCGGACGCTCCAAGACGGCCCAAGAGGCCCCCAAGACCGCTCCAAGACGGCACACGAGGCTCCCAAGACGGCCCCGGAACGGCCCAGGAGGGCCCCCAAGACGGCCCAAGTGCCGCCCAAGACGGACCAAGAGGCCCCAAGACGGGCCCAAGAGGAGCTCAAGAGGGGAACCGAAACTGAAAAATCGAGCCCTCCGCCCCAGAAGGCGCCCAGGAGGCCCCAAAAAGGCCCCAAGAGGCCCCCAAGAGGCCCCCAAGACGCCCCAAGAGGCGCCCAAGAGGCCCAAAAGAGGCCCCAAGAGGCCCCAAAACGGCCCCCAAGAGGCCCCAAAACTCGGCTAGCCCACAACGGTGCGACAATATGGGCCGGCGGAATGAGCGAAGCGATTAAATAACACTATGCGGTGACATTGTTCTTTCTAACATAACACTTTTTCACGAATCCCTTGCAAAAAATGGGACGAAGTGCACACGCGCGCGTCGTCGCGCGCGCATGCCGAAATCCTTCAAAAACCTTCGGTGCCGGAAGGATTTCGCAATCGAGTTTCCGAAAAAACACATACAAAAACACATGGTTTCGCAACACTGATTTGCTAAAAAACTTCTGCGCGAGCTCTTGCGAAATCTTAAGAAAACCATTGGTTTTGTCAAGAATTTCACAAAATGCTACCACACGGGCTTCGCGCGCACGCATGTCGAAATCTGTCGAACGCCCTTGCGCGTGTGCCGTCGCGAGATTCCTCTGCAAATTATCCCGGCAAAGCAACCTAACAGCGATGTGTAGGAGCATATCTGGAAGCATTCCCCTTAAGATTCAGATAAGAATCCTGTTGTAGAATTCTGCTGTTCTCGCAGTCGTGGTCGCATTCGCGATGGCAGTCGCAGTGGCAACAGCAGTCGCAGTCACAGCCTCAGCCTCAGCCTGCCTCAGCCTCAGCCTCAGCCTGCCTCAGCCTCAGCCTGCCTCAGCCTCGCCCTCAGCCTGCTTCAGCCTCAACATCAGTCTGCCTTCAGCCTCGGCCTCAGCCTGCCTCAGCCTCACCCTCAGCCTGCATCAGCCTCAGCCTGCCTCAGCCTCGCCCTCAGCCTGCTTCAGCCTCAACATCAGTCTGCCTTCAGCCTCGGCCTCAGCCTCCGCCTGCCTCAGCCTCGGCCTGCATCAGCCTCAGCCTCACCTCAGCCTGCCTCAGCATCAGCCTGCCTCAGCCTCAGCCTCAGCCTGCCTCTGCCTCAGCCTCAGCCTGCTTCAGCCTCAGCCTCAGTCTGCCGTCGGCCTCGGCCTCAGCCTCAGCCTGCCTCACCCTCAGCCTGCATCAGCCTCAGCCTCAGCCACAGCCTGCCTCAGCATCAGCCTGCCTCAGCCTGAGCCTCAGCCTCAGCCTGCCTCAGCCTCAGCCTCAGCCTGCTTCAGCCTCAGCCTGAGTTTGCCTGCAGCCTCGGCCTCAGCCTCAGCCTGCCTCAGCCTCAGCCTGCCTCAGCCTCCGCCTCAGCCTCAGCCTGCCTCAGCCTCAGCCTGCCTCAGCCTCAGCCTCAGCCTGCCTCAGCCTCAGCCTCAGCCTCAGCCTCAGCCTGCTTCAGCCTCAGCCTCAGTCTGCCTTCAGTCTCGGCCTCAGCCTCAGCCTGCCTCAGCCTCAGCCTGCCTCAGCCTCAGCCTCAGCCTGCCTCATCCTCAGCCTCAGCCTGCTTCAGCCTCAGCCTCAGTCTGCCTTCAGCCTCGGCCTCAGCCTCAGCCTGCCTCAGCCTCAGCCTGCATCAGCCTCAGCCTCAGCCTCAGCCTGCCTCAGCATCAGCCTGCCTCAGCCTCATCCTCAGCCTGCCTCAGCCTCAGCCTCAGCCTGCTTCAGCCTCAGCCTCAGTCTGCCTTCCGCCTCGGCCTCAGCCTCAGCCTGCCTCAGCCTCAGCCTGCATCAGCCTAAGCCTCAGCCTCAGCCTGCCTCAGCATCAGCCTGCCTCAGCCTCAGCCTCAGCCTGCCTCAGCCTCAGCCTCAGCCTGCTTCAGCCTCGGCCTCAGTCTGCCTTCAGCCTCGGCCTCAGCCTCAGCCTGCCTCAGCCTCAGCCTGCATCAGCCTCAGCCTCAGCCTCAGCCTGCCTCAGCATCAGCCTGCTTCAGCCTCAGCCTCAGCCTGCCTCAGCCTCAGCCTCAGTCTGCTTAGCCTCAGCCTCAGTCTGCCTTCAGCCTCGGCCTCAGCCTCAGCCTGCCTCAGCCTCAGCCTGCCTCGGCCGCAGCATCAGCCTGCCTCAGCATTCAAATGTGGCCCGGGAATGAAGTTCCGGGAACTAAAAGAACACGAAATGGCCTACAATAGGCTCCGGGCATTTTCCAATCATGCCCAGGAATGGGTTCTGGAATCGGAAGAGCACGGAAGTGGCCTACAGTTGGCTCCGGTCGTCAAATCATGTGCCCAGGAATGGAGGTTCTGGGACCTCTGGGAACCTCGAAAGAACGGTAAGTGGCCTACAGTTGGCTCCGGGCATCAAAATGTGGCCTCTGGCGTGGGGGGGGGGGGGAATGGAATTTCTGGGAACTCGAAAGAGGAGCACGAAGTGTGTGACTGTTGCATCCGGTCATCCAAAATGTGGCCCGGGAATGGAATTCTGGGAACTCGAAGAGCACGAAGTGTGTGACTGTTGCATCCGGCCTTCCAGAATGTGGCCCGGGAATGGAGTTCTGGGAACTCGAAGAGCACGAAGTGTGTGACTGTTGCATTCGGCCCTCCAGAATGTGGCCTGGGAATGGAGATCTGGGAAATCGAAGAGCACGAAGTGTGTGACTGTTGGCGAAAAACGAGCCCGGCACCTGCCGCCCGGCAACTCCCAACACCTGCCCGGACCCCCCTGTGGAGTGATCTGTGAGCTCTTTTGAGTCAACTAGAAACCTATCAGTCTTCGCTGTTAGGTAAAAACGGGGCGAAGTGCAGACGCGCGCGTCGTCGCGGGCGTATGCCGAAATCCTTCAAAAACCATCGGTTTCAGAAGGATTTCAAAATCGTGCGTCCATTATCCCGGCAAAGCAACCTAACAGCGATGTGTAGAAGCATATCTGAAAGCATTCCCCTTAAGATTCAGATGAAAATCCAGTTGTCGAATTCTGCTGTTCTCGCAGTCGTAGTCGCATTCGCGATGACAGTCGCAGCGGCAACGGCAGTCGCAGTCACAGCCTCAGCCTCAGCCTGCCTCCTCCTCCTCTTTCTCCTGCTCCTCCTCCTCCTCCTCCTCCTCTTCCCCCTGCTCGTCCTCGTTCTCGTCCTCCTCGTCTTGCTCGTCCTCCTCCTCCTGGTGCTCCTCCTCCTCCTCCTCCTCCTCCTCCTCCTCCTCCTCCTCCTCCTGGTGGTCCTCGTTCTCCTCCTCCTGGTGCTCTCCCCCCCTCCTCCTCCTCGTCCTCCTCCTCCTCCTCCTCCTCGTCCTCCTCCTCCTCTCCTCCTCCTCCTCCTCCTCCTCCTCCTCCTCCTCCTGGTAGTCCTCCCCCTCCCCTCCTCCTCCTCCTCCTCCTCTTCCTGGTCGTCCTCGTTCTCGTCCTCCTCGTCTTGCTCGTCCTCCTCCTCCTGGTGTTCTCTCCTCCTCCTCCTCTCCTCCTCCTCCTCCTCCTCCTCCTCCTCCTCCTCCTGGTGGTCCTCGTTCTCCTCCTCCTGGTACTCTCCCCCCCCCTCCTCCTCCTCCTCCTCGTCCTCGTCCTCCTCCTCCTCCTCCTCCTCCTCCTCCTCCTCCTCCTCCTGGTGCTCCTCCCCCTCCCCTCCTCCTCCTCCTCCTCCTCTTCCTGGTCGTCCTCCTCCTCCTGGTCGTCCTCCTCCTCCTGCTCGTCCTCCTCCTCCTCCTGCTCGTCCTTCTCTCCTGCTCCTCCTGCTCCTCGTCCTGCTCCTGCTCGTCCTCGTCCTCCTGGTCTTGCTCGTCCTCCTCCTCGTCGTGCTCTTGCCCCTGCTGAAAATGTGGCCCAGGAATGGGAGTTCTGGGAAGTCGAAGAGCACGAAGTTGCCTACAGTTGGCTACGGGCATTCAAAATGTGGCCCGGGAATGGAGTTCTGGGAACTCGAAGAGCACGAAGTGGCCTACAGTTGGCTCCGGGCATTCAAAATGTGGCCCGGGAATGGAGTTCTGGGAACTCGAAGAGCACGAAGTGGCCTACAGTTGGCTCCGGGCATCCAAAATGTGGCCCGGGAATGGAGTTCTGGGAACTCGAAGAGCACGAAGTGGCCTACAGTTGGCTCCGGGCATCCAAAATGTGGCCCGGGAATGGAGTTCTGGGAACTCGAAGAGCACGAAGTGTGTGACTGTTGCATCCGGCATTCAAAATGTGGCCCGGGAATGGAGTTCTGGGATCTCGAAGAGCACGAAGTGTGTGACTGTTGCATCCGGGTATTGAGAATGTGGCCTGGGAATGGAGTTCTGGGAAGTCGAAGAGCACGAAGTGTGTGACTGTTGGTGAAAAACGAGCCCGGCACCTGCCGCCCGGCAACTCCCAACACCTGCCCGGACCCCCCTGTGGAGTGATCTGCTGCTCTCTTTTGATCCCACTAGAAACCTATCAGTCTTCGCTGTTAGGTAAAAAAACCTACAAGAACCCAAGGTTTCGCAACACGGATTTTCAACAAAAGCGTGCGCGCGCGCTCTTGCGTCGTCGTCGTCGTCGTCCTCCCTCCTCCCTCGTCGTCGTCGTCGTCGTCGCCGTCGTCGTCTTCTGTCTTTCCTCGTCGTCGTTGTCGTCGTCTTGGCGTCGTCGTCGTTTCCGTCGTCGTTGTCGCCGTGGTCGTCCTTCCTCCCTCGTTGTCTTCGTCGGCGTCTCGTCGTTGTCCCTCCTATTTCGTCGCCGTCGTCGTCGTCGTCGTCGTCGTCGTCGTTGTCATCGTCGTCGTCTTCCCTCCTCCCTCGTGTTCGTCATCGTCGTCCTCTTTGGCGTCGTGGTTGTTTCCGTCGTCGTTGTCGCCGTGGTCGTCCTTCCTCCTCCTCCCTCGTCGTCGTCGTCCGTCGTCGGCGTCTCGTCGTCGTCCTTTCATTTCGTCGCCGTCGTCGTCGTCTTCGTCGTCGTTGTCATCGTCGTCGTCTTCCCTCCTCCCTCGTCGTTGTCGTCGTCGGCGTCGCCGTCCTTCCTCCTTCTTCGTCGTTGGCGTCGTCGCCGTCTTCCCTCCTCCATCGTCGTTGTCGTCGTTGTCGCCGTCGTCGTTTTTTCTCCTCCCTCGTCGTCGTCTCCGTTGGCGACGTCGTCGTCGTCTTCGTCGTCGTCGTCGGCGTCGTTGTCGTCGTCGTCGGTGTCGTCGTCGTCGTTGTCGCCGTCGAAAACATTGGAGACGTCGTCGGTGTCGTCGCAGTCGCTGTCGGCGGCGCCGTCGTCGTCGATGTCGCTGTCGTCGTCGGCATCGGTGTCGTGGCCAAGTGCCATGTGGTACCTACCGTCACGGTCTTGTCTGAAGAGGTCTTGCGACCAAGTTGCGGGTGGGAGGGTGGGATGTTTGCACGAGCAGTGGAGAGGACAGCTTCAAGACGGTCAAGATTAATTGCACCGCATAGATTGTACCACAGGGATTGCACTACATACATTGCACCACATAGCAGTGCACAACATAGACTGCACCACTTAGATCGCACCACGTGGATTGCACATAGATTGCGCAGCGTAGATTGCACCAGTTAGACTGCACCTCACGCTTGCAAAACAAATATTGAACCGAATAGATTGCTCCACGTGGATTGCACAACATAGCTTGCACCACGTGGATTGCACAAAATGTAGTGCACCACATAGATTGCACCGCATAGATTCTCCTTTCAAAAAACAGAATAGGATCTACCCTCCCCCCCCCCGCGTTATCACTCCCCCTTTCGGATATGCAAACCGTATATGATTCTGACCACGTGTCCATCCTAAATATGAAATCACAATGTCACAGGCCAACCGGGATCCCCCCCACCTGAGGTTCCCTTGTAAAAAAACACTATGCGGTGACACGGTTTGTTCTAACATAACAGTTATTCACGAATCCCTTGCAAACAACACGACGAAGTGCACACGCGCGCGTCGTCGCGCGCGCATGCCGAAATCCTTGAAAACACCTTCGGTGCCGGAAGGATTTCGCAATCGATTTTCAAAACAAACAAAAAAACACACACACAAAGACACATGGTTTCGCAACACTGATTTGCTAAAAAAGCATCCGCGCGAGCTCTTGCGAAATCTTGAGAAAACCATTGGTTTTGTCAAGAATTTCACACAATGCTACCAAACGGGCTTCGCGCGCGCGCATATCGAAATCTGTCGAACGCCCTTGCGCGTGTGCCGTCGCGAGAATCCTCTGCTAAGAATGGGACGAAGTGCAGACGCGCGCGTCGTCGCGCGCGTATGCCGAAAACCTGCAAACCCCATCGGTTTCGGAAGGATGTCAAAATCGCGCGTCCAAAAAACCTACAAAAACCAAAGGTTTCGCAACACGGATTTTCAACAAAAGCGTGCGCGCGCGCTCTTGCGTCGTCGTCGTCGTCGCCGTCCTCCCTCCTCCCGCGTCGTCGCCGTCGTCGTCGCCTACGTCGTCCTGTGTCTTTCCTCGTGTTCGTCGTCGTCGTCCTCTTTGGCGTCGTGGTCGTTTCAGTCGTCGTCCTTCCTCCTCCTCCCTCGTCGTCGTCGTCGTCCGTCGTCGGCGTCTCGTCGTCGTCCCTCCTATTTCGTCGCCGTCGTCGTCGTCGTCGTCCTCGTCGTTGTCGTCGTCGTCGTCTTCCATCCTCCCTCGTCGTTGTCGTCGTCGGCGTCGCCGTTCTTCCTCCTTCTTCGACGTTCGCGTCGTCGCCGTCCTCCTTCCTCCCTCGTCGTTGTCATCGTTGTCGTCGTTGTCGCCGTCGTCGTCCTCCCTCCTCCCTCGTCGTCGTCTTCGTTGGCGACGTCGTCGTCGTCTTCGTCGTCGTCGTCGGCGTCGGCGTCGTCGTCGTCTTCGTCGTTGCCGACGTCGGCGTCGTCGTCGTCGCCGCCGTCGTCGTCGTCGTCGTTGTCGGCGTCGTTGACGTCGTCGTCGTCGTTGGTGTCGTCGTTGTCGTCGTCGTCGACGTCGTCATCGTCGTCGTGGGTTTTGCAAACCAAGTTGCGGGTGGGTGGGTGAGATGTTTGCAAGAGCGCGGGATGTGTCAACTCGTTTGTTAAAATCAACTGCACCACATAGATCCCACCACATAGAAGTGCACCGCATACAGTGAACCACTTAGACTGCGCCACATAGCTCGGACACCACAGACTGAATCGCGTAGATTGCACCACATGGATTGCACAACCTACCTTGCGCCACATAGAGCGCACAACGT